TACAATTCATGTTGCCAATACTGTGCAAGGCTTTCTCAGCCTAAGGAAATCGACAACAAGTGAACAAGGCATCTATTCGGGAAATGGGATGTTTTCACATGTGGAGGCTGTGGGAACTTTTAAACTGATTTTAAATTCTGGCTTTGTTTTGGATCTTGAAAACACTTTTTATGTTCCATCATTTTCTAGAAATTTAGTTTCAATTTCAAAATTAGTACCTTTTGGATAAACATTTAGGGCTTGTTTGGTTTGTATTTGAGAAACATGTTTTGAGATAAAAAGTACGAAAATTTGTTTAGTTTGATTTTTTTTCAAAAGATGTTTTGAAAAATTATTTTGAGAGAGAGTTTTGGAAAAAGTGATTGATTTGATGTGTATGAGAGAGAGATTTGTTTGGAAAACTTGTAAACCAAACAAGTTTTGGAAAAAAAATTTGGAAAAATTTGTTTGGTTTGACTACTTTTGAAAACTTATTTGTAGAGAATTTTTCCCAAATTTTTTTGAGAAACACAAACCAAACAAGGCCTTAATTTTGTTAGTTCGAGTTTCAATTTATTGAAAAATAATGCTATTATTGACAATGGTTTTTTAACTGATGGTTTATATAAATTTAATTTGAATCTTTCATATGAAAATAGTCTTTTAACCTTACATAGTGGAATTGGCATAAAGAGAAGAATTACCAATGAGAACTCCTCTATGTTATGGCATAGAAGATTGGGACATATTTCAATGGAAAGGATAAAACGTTTAGGAAATGATGGAGTTTTAAATACTATTGATTTTACTGATTTTGGTACTTGTGTGGATTGCATTAAGGGAAAGCAAACCAACAAGTCCACTAAAGGTGCCAAAAGAAGTTCTAATATTCTTGAGATCATACACACAGACCTCTGTGGACCATTTACTCTACCTTGTTTCAATGGTCAGAGATATTTTGTCTCATTTATTGATGATCATACACGATATATGTATCTCTATCTTTTATTTGATAAGGCTGAGGCACTTGATGCTTTTAAAGCCGAGCATTAAAATCGTGAGATCAGATAGAGGTGGAAAATATTATGGAAGGTACACAAAATCCGGACAAATACCTGGTCCATTTGCTAGGTTTCTTAAAGAAGAAGGAATAATTGCCCAATATTCAATGCCTGGTACACCACAACAAAATGGTGTAGCTGAAAGGAGGAGCCGTACACTTATGGACATGGTAAGGAGCATGCTTAGTTATTCCAATGTTCCCATAAATTTGTGGAGTGAAGCTTTGAAAACCGCGGTGTATGTTTTAAATCGGGTTCCATCTAAAGTTGTTCCTAAAACACCTTTTGAATTATGGAAAGGATGGAAGCCAAGTTTGAGACATTTGCACATATGGGGTTGTCCAGTTGAGGTAAGGGTTTATAACCCACACTTAAAGAAATTGGACCCAAGAACAGTTAGTGGTTTTTTCATTGGCTACGCTGAAAACTCCAAAGGTTTCAAATTTTATTGCCCTTCACACACACTTAAAATTGTTGAGGCTAGAAATGCAAAATTTCTTGAGGATCATGAGTAAAGTGGGAGTGGTTTTTCTCGTGTCATAGAATTCGAGGAAATAAGGGACCCTATTGAGAAACCAATTGGGGAATTGGTTGTTGTTCCAAATGTTATTCCAAATATCATTGAAGAACAACCAATACAAGAACAACAGCTGCATGAGGAACAAATCAATATAGAACCTCTTATTCAAAATTTAAATGAACCAATAGGAGTAAGGAGATCCACAAGAGAAAAGAACTTAGCTATTTCTAGTGATTACCTTGTATATCTAGAAGAATCTGACTTTGACGTTGGACCTAAAGCTGATCCTAGTTCATTTTCACAAGCCATGAATGAAATTAATTTCAATTTGCGGTATGATGCCATGAAACAAGAGATGAAATCAATGGCCACAAACAAAGTTTGGGATCTTGTTGAGTTACCAAAAGAAGTTAAGGCCATTGGCTGTAAATGGGTCTATAAGACCAAAATGAATTTTTTGGTAACATTGAACGATATAAAGCCAGACGTGTAGCCAAAGGTTTTACCCAAAAGGAAGGAATTGATTACCATGAGACCTTCTCTCCGGTTTCTAAGAAGGACTCATTTCGAATAATCATGGGTTTAGTAGCTCATTTTGATTTGGAGTTACACCAAATGGATGCGAAAACGACTTTTCTTAATAGGGATCTTGAAGAAGAGGTAGCCTGAGGGATTTTCCTCAAAGGATAATCACTTGGTTTGTAAGTTGAAGAAATCTATATATGGACTTAAATAGGCCTCCCGCCAATGGTATTTAAAATTTCACAACATTGTTACTTCATTCGGGTTTATGAAGAACATTGTTGATAATTGTATATACCTTAAGGTTCGTGGGAGTAAATACATATTCTTAGTCCTGTATGTAGATGACATTCTACTTGCGAGTAGTAATTTGGGTTTGCTACATGAAACGAAAGAATTTCTTTCTGAAAACTTTGAAATGAAGGATATGGGTGAAGCCTTATATGTCATTGGAATAGAGATTCACAAAGATAGAACTTGTAGAACATTGGGACTATCTTAGAAGGCCTACATTGAAAAGGTTTTGGAAAGATTTAACATTAAGTCTTGTTCACTTTCTATAGCACCTATTGTCAAAGGAGACAAATTTAGTCTAAATCAATCACCACAAAATGATTTGGAGAAAGAACAGATGAAAAACATACCTTATGCATCTGCAGTAGGTAGTCTCATGTATGCTCAGGTTTGTACAAGACCTGATATTGGGTTTGTGGTAGGAATGTTAGGCAAATATCAAAGTAATCCAGGCCTTGAGCACTAGAAAGCTGCTAAGAAGGTTATGAGGTATTTGCAAGGAACTAAGGACTACAAGCTTACATATAGATATGCAGATTCACTAGTGGTGATTGGATATTCAGATTCAGATTTTGCTAGATGTTCCGACACTAGAAGATCTACTTTAGGATATATATTTCTTCTTGCTGAAGGAGCTGTATCTTGGAGAAGTATCAAGCAGTCCATAACTGCTTCGTCTACTATGCAAGCGGAATTTGTTGCATGCCATGAAGCTACAACACCGGCCTTATGGTTAAGAAATTTTATCACAGGACTAAGGATTGTTGATTCCATATCAAGACCACCAAGGATTTACTGTGATAATTCGGCTGCAGTTTTCTTTTCTAAAAACAATAAAAGTGGCAGCCGAAATAAACATATTGACATAAAGTATCTTGTTGTTAGAGAGAAAGTCCAGATGCAAGAAATTGCTATTGAGCACATCGACACTGAGCTGATGGTTACAGATCCCATGACAAAAGGATTGCTGGCTAAAGTACACAATGATCATGTGGTTCATATGGGACTAACTAGCTCTTTTGATGTATGAAATTACTTTCTCATTTTGAGGGATTCACTATTGAAAACAATATTTATTTAGAATAAACACATGACCTTTGATTGTGCACTTAAAGTATTTGTCATGTTTGTTATCCATTGGGATAAGTAAAGTAGGACCCGAATGGCTATTTATTAGTCATTTGTAAATTGAAGTATTTATTTAGTACTCATTGAAAAGTGTCATACATTGTAATTTATAAAAGGAAATGTCCATTAAATGAGGCATAACCGCTATGATTCGTGTAGCAACACTTGGCAATGGAGTATGAGGATTTCAATATTAAAGTTTAGGCAAAGTTTAATGGCCATAATTCGGTACATATCACCCAATACAGTATTTATATGATTTGTGGACCAAATGGGAGAATGTAAGTTGCGTCTCCTAAGAGGAGATTTAATGTGGCCTACATACATATTAATATTTGTAAATTATATATATTATATATTATTTATATATTTATCCTTATATGTATATTTATCTTTTGATAATTATGGGTGATAATTATTGAAGTTGCCTAAAATATCAAGAACTCTAAATGGTGGTTTGGCTAAGGCCTATCAATTTCCACTAATTAAGTTTCCTTGATGGAAGGAAACTAACAGGGTTTATCTGATAATGTATCTATTTGATAAGAGTCACTGACCTAACAGTTATAAATAGGCCTGTGATTTTCCATTAATGAGGCACTTAAGTTCTGCATAGGTTAAAAGACACTTATTCATAAAGGGTAAAGTGAGTGATATAATATTGAGAGATTCAGAAGAATTACACACATCACACAACTTGATCAACAATGGCTGAAGGAGGTTAGTATAAATTTTATTCCGCAGTATATCCATACATATATGATTATATTATATGTGTATGATTTTCCAACATAAACTACCTAACCAATCAAAAAATACCTCTGGATCATGGTCCTCATTAAAATTTGGAATTTATAATTTGGCACTCTTGTCTAGTCTACATCAGACAAGCGATGATCCTCTAGCATTTGTTTGTGTTCATACCCAACATCATGAGGCAGAGAAGTGCCCAAAGGTGCAATAATCATACCCCTATCCTTTCCTTTGTCTTTCAAAACTAGACTTATTCAAAGGTAACTTGCACTTGGGTCAATGTTATCTTCAACTCCTTGTGGTATTGGTATAGGGCTTCAACTTTTAAGTTTAACTCAGTGTTGGTCAACGTGTCTTAGGTAAGGAGGTTTTGGGCTGGATGGTGCTTAATTTTGGGCTTAAGTGATAAGCTTTAGACCTAGTAAATTTGATTGTGGGTGATGTATGTGGGTTGGTTTGGGGTTGAAGCCTTTGGTTTTTTAACAATATAATGGATTGGGGTAAGTTTTAAAGGTTAAGGACAGGTTTTGAAGGAAAAGGATTTAGGTTGGGTTGTTTGAAGAATCTGGGCTGGTTCTTGGGATTAAATGACTGGGTTCTGGTGGGCTGATTGGTTCAGTATCAGGTTGAGCTATCAGTTAGGCAAAAAGGTTGGATTATAGGAAATACACTGGGATAATAGTTTTGGCTATAAAGCAGGGTTGGACCACAGAGGGGTTAGGTTGGGGCCTCAGGTTTTAGATTTATGGTCGGTTTAAGGGTGAAGGGGGGAGGGCCGAACCAACGGGTCTTGAAACTCTACTTGTCTCGTCTTCTTTCGTCATTCTCAATGAACAACGTTGGTGTGATGCTGACCTACAAACTACAGCAAGGACGACGAGATAGGAAAGCTTTGGTTGTGATCTATGGCAGTGATGAGGGAAGCTTCGGTTGTGATCTATGGCGGTGATGATGATCTCATCTTTTAATGTTAGAAATTGGGCGCCCAGAAACAGTGATGCTGACCTACAAACTACAGCAAGGACGACGAGATAGGAAAGCTTTGGTTGTGATCTATGGCAGTGATGAGGGAAGCTTCGGTTGTGATCTATGGCGGTGATGATGATCTCATCTTTTATTGATGATGACGACAACAAAAGAAACAATGAGAAGAAGGTATTGGAGGACTCTACTGATGTTGACAATGACAATGGCTGACAATGAAGGTGGTACCATTGTCAATGACGATGGCTAACTCTTCCAACGAAAAAGGATCAATGTAAGATTTGATGCCAAATTGATGTAGAATGGTGGGGGCAGAGAGAGAGAGAGAGAGAATTGGCCATGGCCAATGTCTCCAATAATATTATGGAAATTTTCAAAACCTCTCTCCATTGGACTATTGTTTGGTAAAAAGTACAACTCAATTTATTTTTTTTCATAAATTTTCTAAGGAGAAAACATATAATTGAGTAGACAAAGTAAAATATAATTTTTTTTTTCTTTTTTGGACAATATTACTAGAGTAACATATTATTGTGAACTAGAGTAATATATTACTGTGAGACAGAATAACATGTTACCGTGAGACAGAGTAACATGTTACTGTACTAACACGTCAAATTTTACTCAATTTCGGATCCATTTGATAGTAAACCAGATACAGATTTTCTTTGTAAACGCAGTGTTATTACACACTATTAAAATTAGAAAATTTTAAAATACTAAATTCATTATAAAATTTATGATATCAAAGTATGTTTTGACACCTTATTTTTATCAATTTTAAGAAAATAATAAATAAATAAAAATATTCATCTTGTTTTGTTTAAATTTTCTTAATTGATTTTTTTTTTATTTTTCCTTTTTTTTAATTTTTAGTTGATTTTTTAATATTTAAATATATTTTTTTTAATTTTTAGACACACTTAATATAAATACAATTAAAAAGTATAATATTTGTAAAAAAAAAATAATTAAACATTCACTAAATACCAAAAATATAAAAAAATATATATGAAAATTTAATATATTTTCGTATTGTTGTATATTTATTAATTTTTTTTAAAAATATTTTACCTTTTAGGTAGATCTAGGTTAGATACATCTAAAAGAAAAAATACTTAAAATACTAAAAAAATTCACTAAAAACAAAAATAAAAAATTCAATTTTCAAAACATAAAAATTAGAGCCAAACAAGGTGATTTATATTTCTTATTATTATTCTTTAATTTTACAGGATAAAATTGGATTTGCAAGATCACACAAAACATTTCATGCATAATATGGGAGTTTTATGCATTCTCTGGAAAACTCGAATAGTACAACAAGCTTGTTGGGTGAATATCCAAATACATGCCGAACACACATTCAATACCGTTATCCAAATGTCACTTGTGTAGCACAAATGCTTCACTTATTTAGAAGAATTCATTTAAGATAGAAAAAGAGACGAAAAAAGAAAAGATGAAATTGAGATAAGGAAGCAAATTTATGCTCTTTTGTTTGAATTGCACTAGGTTGGATCAGTTTATTAATGTGTCTCCATGATGATATAGAGAGATTGAGGAATACATGTTAATTTCCTACTTTCTGTTTCTGGTAATATTGCAGTTTATTCCAACAACATTGACTCTTGATTCAGGAGTAGTGAAACTGATTTACTAAATTGTATGGACAATGTGAGGAAATCTTATAGGATATTTAAATTTTGATTTGCTTTTGATTTTGTGCTTTGTTTTGTAGTTTAAATTCACTAGCCATGAGTTTTCATATGTTGGTTACATAGTTTGGTTATGTGTTGTTCGACTCATACGGAATAAATATATTGAGGGATGAGTCTTGGTTTAAATTTAAAAATTAGTCTTGCTTGTTTTCATTTTTCAAAAAATACTTTTTAGAAAATTTTATTTTCTTATTTTTCGTGTTTTTTTGTTTTTACTAAATTTTTTTAATATTTTAAGCATTTTTTTTACTTTTTAGACACACCTAACATAAATACACCTAAAAAGTAAAAAAATTGTAAAAAAAATCTTTTAAAAATTCATTAAATACCAAAAATATAAAAAAAAATACAAAAATTCAGTACATTTTTTTTTGTATTTTTATGTATTTGTTAATTTCTTAAAATATTTTTTTACAATTTTTTTACTTTTTAGATACATCTAACTAAGGTGCATTTAAAAAAGTAAAAAAAAAAAGGTTTAAAATTTAAAAAATATTCACTAAAAACAAAAGAATACGAAAATCAAAAAATTCAATTTTCAAAAAATTTAATTCAGAAAACTCAAACCAAACACACTGTAATTTTACTAATTCACACAGAATTGATTTTATTCATAATTAAATTGTGTGATGAAAATTAATTTAGTATAATATAAGTTCTACATATAGAATAAATTTAAATCATAGATTGATTTTCTATGTAAGATTGTAGATAAAAAATCTAGTGGTACTTAAAATGGATAGTAGACGGTAACGGGCTAAATGTGCCGTTTAGTTAGCATGTTACAAAAGAATAATTGATTGGAGCCCACAAGATGAAAGTGGAAGGAAAGACTTTAATGAACGATTTTCATTAAAAATATAAATTTATAATTATTTTAAATTTTAAAAATTATTATACTTATGTAATACAATACCTGAACCGAGAGCACCCCTTGCTTCTTCTTAGGCACCAATTTACCTTCAATACTGTAATCAGGATTGTAGAAATTGAGACCTTGAAGCTCTACGTGGGCAAAAGCTTCAATGAAGTCCACTCCACGGTTGTTGCAGAGAAGCTGAGGTTCACCCACAGTGTTGTGCACAAACTCCCCAGCAAATGGGTAGTAACAAACTAAAGCTTGAGACATGGCCTTCTTCAAAACACCGACCATGGAGGCAAATGTGAACAACATTAAGCCCCCTTCTTTTCTAGTGAGTTGTGTGGTGGTGGTGGTGGGATTCTTGTAACAGAAGAACACAGCGACGTCGACAGGAGGCAAGAGCAAGTCAAGGTTGGAAATAATTAAGTATATTGATGTATGAAAAAATTATATAATATTGGGTCAACTTAAAATATAGAGTTTGTTTTAATCCTACCTTGGGTTTGATTTAAAAATTGATCAAGTAACTAGGGAAAACAGTTAATAATAATCAATTTAGGCTTATGTTTAATAATTTGTTAAGTTATGATGGATATGAGCTAATACTAAAAGAAGTGTAGAAATTGTTGGTTGATTTTTATGTTATTGTTGGCTTTTTGGCTTTCGAATGTTATTATTATAATTGCGAGCGTGCCAGTAAGGATCAATCAGTCCTTACAGAAAATTAATTGCCAACCAATTATCAGACGATTGTATTTTACTTCTTTCAGCCTCAATGAAGAGGACTTTTACTGGTGGCTTGATTTAGGAGAATTAAGCAAAATAACAATTAAATGAAGAACAATATTTCATTAAAATTAAAAACTTACAATGATCCAAACTCAATCTCGCAGAGGTTTTAAGCAACAATCTACTTGAAACTACTCCTATGAACGAAGTGTAGTGCAGGAATTTAAAGTACAGGAAATGTAAGACTAGAAATGTAAAACTGGAAATGTAAAATAAGTAAAATAAGATTGATTTTTTGGATCTGAGTCTAGGGGTTTTTTCTGGAGCCTTCTCTGCTATTTATACTTCTCAAGGATGACCATCGAACTGCGTTTCCAACCGTCGAACTGCTCCTCCATGATCGCTGATCATGTTGCCTTGTAATTAGCCCACTATGCCATCACTTGCAGTTAGACTTCCCTCCTAAATTTGAATTTAAATGTGAGTAACCGTGGAAGCCACATCACCTTGCCTATCATTGTTGATTCACTGCTACTCAGATCTCGTAATAACCAATACTAACTGCCACGTGTACGAACAGGATTGAAGACTTGACTAGCCTTCCTGTACTACCCTTATTCTGCCACGCGTCGAATTGTAATTGGCTTGTACAAAATATGTAGCCAACATTACCCCCCTCACTAATATACCCAATACTTGGTGATATTAGTGGATCAAGGTCTTTTTCCCACGTCTTAGAACATGCATAGGTTTTGCATTCTCCCAGAAATGCAACTGTCATCCATCATCTGCATTAAACTCTCTTTCAATCTTTTGAACACCCCCACCACCTTAGTATTCGAACAGACTGATACATTTTTTATGGCCGAATCAATTTTCCTCTCCATTGATCGAGCACACGAAGAGTCATATGATGATGCTGTTCTTCCTTGAAGGAACCTCCATGAATTAATTAGCCACCTTTACCCTCCTTTCTATATTCAGGTCATGGATGCCTTTGCAAATTATCAACCCTTGGACTTCAAACATATTGCCCTTAATCCTTCAATTCAGAAACTTACAATTATGGACATAGGAAGTTCTTCTTCTGACTCACCCTTGGATTACAAACAAACTGTTCTCAATTCTTTGATTCAGAAAGTCGCAAATATGGACATAGGAAGTTCTTCTTCACAACCCTCTGTATGGGATAAGGCTGCAACTTCTTCCTCTTCTGGGGCTTCTGACTGGACAAGCTGGTCAAAACCTGAGGCTTGTGATTTTTGGAAACGAATCAACTATCACTTTCTCGAGTTTTCTGACCCTTTAGAGTTCCCTTCTTATGCGCGAAGCTCGGTGGTCTATCCCTACGTGCCCATTGACCATTGACGCAGTTTGAAGGAGAATCTGCTTGTGGCATGGTATACATCCTCCATGCCTACAAAGATAATGCACACCGCCCGACGCCTAAAAGAGGCGCAAGGGTATAATCCATCATTCTTAGCCCAGAAGGCGAAGATTTGTTCTTCTGATTGGCTCGATTATATTAATGCCCTTGTTCCTTCTGCCCTTGCTCCATCTCCTAAAATAGAAGCATCCACACCTTCTCCTCCACCAAATCCTTGTTGGACAGAGAGACTGAGGCTTGCCCTCTCTGCGGATAAGGTCTTTCCACCTTACAAGCCTCCACCTTCCCCTAATCCAGTTGAGCGGAAGCAAGCTGAACTTCTGCTCGCGGCTTTCTTTCACTTGCCCTTCAATGTTCTTGAGGACGAAGTCCCTCTCAAGAACCTTCAATGGGCTTGTGATATTCTGACTCGGGGTCATGTCCTCAATCCCCTCGCCCAAGCAGAGCTTCACATGTTTTTGGACCAACTTCCATTGCTTCTCCACTGGCATCGAACCTCTATGGCCACCACACAATCTTTAGACCAACTCTCGTCCCTTCGAGTTTATGCCTAGTACGAAGCAGAGAACTTCATTGAAGAATTCAAAGATTTTAAGAATAAAGATTCTGCGTACTGGGATGACTTGGATATAGATGAATTGGAACAAGGATTGAGAGAAACAGCATTCGAAATAAAGGCTGCAGAGCTCTTTTACGAAGTGAGAACACATCAACTCATGCAGCCAATGTTAGAAGAAATAGAGGATAGAATAAATAAATAACAGAAATTCATTGATCATAGTTGGACCAAATTTCACGATCTTGTTATTTATTCTATTCCTTACTTTTACGAACATGAATTTGTACCCAAAGAGGGCCATTCAATGTAATTGCTTTTGCTTTAATACAACTAAGACTTTTCTCTTTATTTGGCATTGTTTGATCTTGTTTCCATTTGTCTTTAAAAGCAAGATTCAGGGCTTCGAACTGAACAATCTTATCCTTTAAAATGAAACACTAAAAACCAACATAAACTTTTCCAATTTATGGAATAATAGTTAACAATTTTTGCTGATTTTCATTTAGAATCAGTGCTTCGAATTCGACAGTCCTACCCCTTAAAGTTTATTTCGATCATAACCAACATATGGTCATGCTCAGTATGATCAATCGGTTTTAAATTGACCATTTTCCCCTAGAATAACAGTCCATACTTTCAAAAATATGAAAGCTCCTTTTTAGGGCTGCATAGTTGTAGTCTAAAAAGAGAATCTTTCTTAAATATATATAAACCAATTATTGGTTTGGATGTTTAAGGGTTCTCAAGTCTTGCTTCGAAGGACATTACTTTCATTGAGAAACCTAAAATAGGTCTTTAATCCCTTCGAAGTAAACGAATACTTGAGCATTCTTAGTATGAAATGTACTTCGAAGCTGGCTTCTTAGTTTCAAAGCCGTTTATTATTTGACTTTTGGTCCCAAAATCTGGTTTCGAAGCCAAATACTATACTTCGAAGTTGGCTTTAACATCTGGGATGTGTTTTTCCCTCCAAAAGTATCAATATTGAAGGAAGCTCTTCGTATATGTACTTTTAGTACTTAACGAATTACGTGATATATCTTCCGGATACAAAGGTTTTTTAAAACCCTTTTTATTTCGTGTTCTAAAATCACTCGCTCGCTCAAAACACAAACCCTTTTCCTCTGTTAACCCCCTCTTCCTTGCTGCTTGCTACCAATGGACTCTTCTTCTTTGAAAGTGCTTGCTGGTGATCGTATAAGCCCAACTATGGCTTTGAAAAGACGTATTGATGAAAAGATCGCCAAGTTAACATCTGATGAGTCAAGCGCCATAGGCGGCCGCCTCTTCGTTCCTCGTCATAGTAACAAACAAGAATACGTCTTGGTTCCCATCTTTCGAGAGGCTCCTGCTCAACTTCAAGCTTTATACCCTCGTCTGGAGGACCATTTTCTTCTCTACGAAGGAGGGCTCGACTGGGGAAATTGGAGGGTGACCCGACCTCATCGCTGTTGGTCAACATTGAGAGCTGAATGGGAAGAATGGTATGACAGAGTTGTACTTGCGCGAGAAGACGACCTGCAAGAGCTTTGTATTCTCGATGCCCTCCGTCTTTCCAGGTTTATCATTCCTGAAGATCCTTTCTTGATTCCCACTGCTCTTTGTTTTTGGAACATGCTTTTAATTTTTTCCAATTTCGGTGTGGCATGATGGCTCCCACCGTTCTTGATATTTGCCATCTTTTAGGGCTTTCACCCCTTGGCTCTCCTTTCATTCCCGGCTATCCAGACCTTCTTGTTAAGTTCTTCCTTCCACCCTTAAACTCCTCTTACAGTGATTTTGTAAAGGCCGAAAATAAAAGGGTAGGTCCCGTGAGAGATAGAGAACTTTTTTCCTTCATTTTGTACTGGTAATGCAAATTTCTCTTTTGTACATCATCTCAGAGGATTATGCCTGAGTTTGCTCCACTTGCGAAGGCACTTGTTTTGAAAAAAACGCATAGCCCTGGCTTCTTATCTCTTAGGCCATGTTTATAGAGCATGTTCCCAATTCTGTGAGAAACCTCTTGAAGGCCGAAAATAAAAGGGTAGGTCTCGTGAGAGATATAGAACTTTTTTCCTTCATTTTGTACTGGTTATGCAAATTTCTCTTTTGTACATCATCTCAGAGGATTATGCCTGAGTTTGCTCCACTTGCGAAGGCACTTGTTTTGAAAAAAACGCATAGCCCTGGCTTCTTATCTCTTAGGCCATGTTTATAGAGCATGTTCCCAATTCTGTGAGAAACCTCTTGATGTGAACCAAGGGGGTCCCCTTTGGGTGCTCCAACACTGGCTTTTTGCTTACTTCACTAATTTGCATCCCAAATGCTTAAGATTCCTTGTTCAAGACCCTAGCACTTATGGGGAAAAATATGCCAGAGTTGTTCTTTATCATGCTTCATTTGCCTACTACTTCACCTTTTTTCACCAACTTCCTATTTCTCCACCTCTCTTCTGCCCCTTTGATGCCAACAAAGGACCTACTTGGCTACAAACATTCTTAGCTGATAAAGAGTGCTCTACCCCATCCCACAAAGGCATGTGGGCTTCTATTTTGCTGTCGAGAGAGCTGTTCATTGGCACTTTAAACCCTCGAGCTTATAAGTGTATAGCTGAGGTGCACTGTCCTTCTCAAT